CGCTCTCGCGCCACCTCTGCGCGCCAGGCTCTGCTCGGCGCCGCGGCCGGGCTCGATGGAGTAGCTCCGCGGCTCCACGCCCGCAACGACCTTGAACTCGCCCTGCATCGGGACCGCCAGCATTCGGTTCGCTTGCATCCCTTGGATAGGCACCGCGCCCATGTTCTTCTCCCGGAAGCGGGCGCAGGCCTCGGAGAGGCACCAGAGGCACCCGTGGGGCCCCCGTTGGGCCCCTGGACCCAGCCCTGCCCCATGGCCCAGTGCATCTCGGCCTTGACCTCTCGGATCGCGCCCTTGGGCTGGCCGCGCTCGCGGGCGTCCAGCTCCTGCCAGAAGCTCGTGACGTTTGGGGCCATGGGCGCGTGGGCTACATTCTGGAGCCGCGCTCGGAGCGCCACTGCCTCGGTCCACTGGCTCGAGAGGCAGTCTGCGAGCGCGAGGCTCTGGCCGCGCTGCTGTTCGACGAAGCCGACGGCCCAGACAGCGACGAGCTCGTCCGTCCAGGCCCTCGGCTGCCACGCACGTCGATGGCCTCGAAGATCATCGCGCGTTCCTCCTCGGAGAACTCGAGCAGAGCCTTGCGCCAACCATTCAGCAATGCTCCCAGGGGCTCGCCTGCTCGGAAGCGCCCCGCGCCACCGTCGCCCCGATCGCAGGTGGCGTCGCGCCGCCAGGTGCCCACCTCGAGGTTCGCGTCGCTCACTCGGCAGTGCCTTGCGCAGGGGGCGAGGGGCATGCTGCGCTTCATGGCGGACTTGGGCTCCCTGCTCGGGTCGAACCAGCCCTGGACTGCGGCGAAGTTGATGCGTGTGATCCTGAACTTGTCCCCTGCGCTCGAGTAGGCCTGGTCCACTGGCCCCTTCATGTCGGGGTGGTTTGTCAACAGTTTGGCCTTCTCGGCCTCGAAGTCTGCCTTGTCCTCCACGGCCTGCGTTTCGCGGAACTTGCGGCGAAGGTTATGGATGCGTCTCTTGGCGCCTGCAGCGTAGATCTCGCTCTCGTGCATGTGCACTTGCTCGCCCCGGAGCTTGAGCCAGAGCGCGGCGGCGTCGACGACGACCACGCTCGCGATGGCCCTTTGCTGGGTGAGAGCCTCAGGGCCCCCGACGAAGAGGCCGAGGTCCTCGGAGCCGCCCCTCGCCACCAGGTGCACGAACCTACTCGTAGTAGTAGTAGTAGTAGTAGTAGTAGTAGTAGTAGTAGTAGTAGTAGTAGTAGTAGTAGTAGTAGTAGTAGTCGTAGTCGTAGTCGTAGTAGTAGTAGTAGTAGTAGTAGTAGTAGTAGTAGTAGTAGTAGTAGTAGTAGTAGTAGTAGTATAGTAGTAGTAGTAGTAGTAGTAGTAGTAGTAGTAGTAGTAGTTCAATAGTAGTAGTAGTAGTAGTAGTAGTAGTAGTAGTAGTAGTAGTAGTAGTAGTAGTAGTAGTAGTAGCTAGTAGTAGTAGTAGTAGTAGTAGTAGTAGTAGTAGTAGTAGTCTAGTAGTAGTAGTAGTAGTAGTAGTCGTAGTAGTAGTAGTAGTAGTAGTAGTAGTTAGTAGTAGTAGTAGTAGTAGTAGTCGTAGTAGTAGTCGTGGTAGTAGTAGTAGTGGTAGTAGTAGTCGTCGTAGTAGTAGTAGTAGTAGTAATTAGTAGTAGTAGTAGTAGCAGTAGTAGTAGTAGTAGTAGTAGTAGAAATCGTAGCAATCATAGTAGTAGTAGTAGTAGTAGTAGTAGTAGTAGTAGTAGTAGTAGTAGTAGTGGTAGTAGTAGTAGTAGTAGTTAGTTACTAGTAGGAGTTACTAGTAGTAGTTTCTAGTAGTCGTAATTTTAGTAGTAGTAGTAGTAGTAGTAGTAGTAGTAGTAGCTGTAATATTACTGGAAAAAATAGAAGCAGTAGTAGCCGTAGTAGTAGCAGTGGTAGTAGTAGTAATAGTGGTAGTAGTAGTCGCAGTAGTAGTAGTAGTAGTAGTAGTAGCAGCAGTAGTAGTAGTAGTAGTAGTAGTAGTAGCAGTCGTCGTAGTAGTCGTCGTAGTAATGGTAGTAGTAGTAGTAGTAGTAGTAGTAGTAGTCGTAGTAATAACAGTAGTCGAAGTAACAGTAGTAGTAGTAGTAGTAGTAGTAGTAGTAGTAGTCGTAGTAGTAGTCGTCGTCGCAGTAGTAGTAGTAGTAGTAGTAGTAATAGTTGCTGCTGTGGTAGTAGTACTACTAGTAATTACTAGTGCGAATACTCGTAGTAGTTACTGGTCGTGGTCGGGGTGATAGTTCGTAACTACTAGCAGTAGTAGCCGCAGTAGTAGTCAGTAATCGTAGTCGTTACTAGTAGTAGTAATAGTAGTAGTAGTAGTGATAGTAGTAGAAGTAGTGGCAGTAGTAGTAGTAGTAGTCGTAGTAGTAGTAGTAGTAGTGATAGTAGCAGTAGTAGTAGTAGTCGTAGCAGTAGTAGTAGTAGTAGTACTAGTAGTAGTAGTGGTCGTAGTAGCAGTAGTAGTAGTAGTAGTAGTAATAGTAGTAGTAGTAGTCGAAGAAGAAGTAGTAGTAGTAGTAGTAGTAGTAGTCGTAAAAGTAGTGGCAGTAGCAGTAGCAGTAGCAGTAGTAGTAGTAGTAGTAGTAGTAGTAGTCGTAGTAGTGATGGTAGTAGTAGTAGTAGTAGTAGTAGTAGTAGTAGTAGTACTAGTAGTACTAGTAGTAGTAGTAGTAGTAGTAGTAGTAGTAGTAGTAGAAGTAGTAGTATTAGTAGTACTCGTAATAGTAGTAGTAGTAGTAGTAGTAGTAGCCGTAGTAGTAGTGGTAGTAGTAGTGGTAGTAGTAGTGGTCGTACTACTAGTAGTGGTAGTAGTAGTAGTAGTAGTAGTAGTCGTAGTAGCTGTTACAAATAGTAGTTACTAGTGGTAGTGGTTGTGTGGTTCGTAGTAGTACTCACGAGTAGTAGTCGCTACTAGTTACTAGTTACCAATAGTGGCCGTCCCCAATAATAGATACTATTACTTGTAGTCGTCACGAATAGTAGCTACTAGAACCATCGCGCGCTTCGCGAGCGTTCAAGTTGGTCGGCTTGATCGGCTAACTAATGTAATATCAATTTGGTCGTTTCCTGCGTCGAGGGACTCCCTTGGAGGCCCTGCTCAAGCCTCGGAATCGTATAGAAGGGAAAGTGCGGAAACGCAAAAATCATTAATTTCCTTTAGGTATTCAACGATTTGGAGCCCTCCAAAGGTTCCCGGGTTCTTTTTTGGGAGGTGAAGGGGGGTCTGAATTGTGGTCTGTTGTGCAAGAGTAGACAAGGGGCCAAACTCGGAAAACAAATTGTAAGATTTCCATGCTTTTCCAATTCCTCGGCGCTGTTCGGCGCCCTTTTTTGTTTTTGCCTCGCGGATTTTGCTTGCCGGGCCCCTCAGGGGTGTGGGATCTTCCGGACCCCCTGGAGCTTCTGGAGCCCTCCTGGAGGCATTGAGAGCCGCCGAAGGGTGTCTCGGGCTGCGCGGGAGCGTGTTGGGCCGTTATGTACGTTTTGGGGGCTCCTTGAGGTCGTCATGGGCAGTCCTTCGGCGTCTTGGGGTCTCCCCCGGGGAAATCAGGAGGCGCGATACCGGCCAGATGTCAGGGGATGTGTGGGACCCCCAAATAGGAGTCCCACTTTGAAGCAAAAGGAATTCTGGGAATTCCGTTTTTTCTTCGTCGAAATCCTCGATCTTTGAGGGTTAGAAGCGGGAAAACGTGAGAGGGCGCAAAGCATTAGAAAAACAATGGGAAATCAACGATGTTACCCTTTTTGGGCTCTCTCGGGACGGCTCTCGCCACTCTCTTGGGCTGTCCTTGGAGCCTCGTCGGGGTCTTCGTGGGGCCTCTCAAGGATCGGGGGGGTGTTGGGGGCCTCTGGGGGGTCCCGGAGGCCTCTCGGAGGTCTCTGGAAGCCTCCTGCTCCTGCTCTTGGGCCCATCTTGGGCCTGTTCTGGGGTGGTCTGGGGCTGTGTTGGGGGGCGTCTTGGGTCCTCGTGGGGCGCTGTGGAGGCTCCCCGGAAAGGCCGGGGGAGCGGTACCGGACCGTCCCCGAGATGTGGCGGGGAGTTGTGGGACCCGGGGCCGGGGGGGCGGTATTTATTTATCATCATACCTACCGGTGTGATCTCGCACTGCTTTATTTCGACCGTGCGCTCTGCTGGTGGTCCTGCTGGTGGTCGTGCTGGTGGTCCTGCTGGTGGTTGTGCTGGTGGTTGTGCTGGTGGTTGCGCTGGTGGTCGTGCTGGTGGTTGTGCTGGTGGTCGTGCTTGTGGAGGTGCTGGTGGCCGTGCTGGTGGCTGGTCGTGCTGGTGGTCGTGCTGCTGGTTGTGCTGGCCGTCGTGCTGGTGGATGTGCTGGTGGTCGTGCTGGTCGCTGGTAGTGGTTGTGCTGGTGGTTGTGCTGGTGGTCGTGCTGCTGGTTGTGCTGGTTGTTGTGCTGAGCCCAGGGGGGAAGTGAGAGGGGGTGGGCCTTCTCAGAGGGCGGCGAGGATTCTCAGGAGCCCTCGCGCCTCTGAGAAGGCTTGTAGTTGGACGCCGCAACTTGGTAAGGACAGAACTTGGTACGATGCCTGACAGCAAATGTGGGCCAAAACCGACAGCGGCCGCCCTTGGGCAGGCGGCCTTCCGTCTCAAATGGACAACGTCCGCGACGACACCGACAGCGAGTCCTGTCAAAATGAGCAGGAACTGCTGTCAGTATTCGTACCCATTTTTTCAGTACCCATTTCGATCGTTCCGATTGGAAGCCTTCTCCGAAGCGACAGACGGCTTCTCAAAGGCGCGAAGGCTTCTGAGAAGCCCCGCCGCCTTCTGAGAAGGCCTGCCCCCCACTCCCTTCCCCCGTTGGCTCGCCGCCGAGTTTTGTCCATCGGGCTTGGGCTCGCCGCGGGTCTGGTCTGGCGGCTGCCCCTGATCCTACGGGCCACTGGCGCGGCTGGGGCCGCACCAGCGCGCCAGAGGCGCAGCGCGGCGGGCACAGATGCGTGAACGTGCCGGCGAGGTCGGGCGCGTGCGGGGCCGCGAAGCTCACAGCTCCCCCTGCACCCGCACGCCCACCCTCCTGAGGTCCGCGGGGTTCACCCTGCAGTGCAGCACCCTCTCCTCCAGCTCGAGCTGCCTGTGGCGGTAGAGCAGGCAGGAGGAGAGCAGCACCCCGCACAGCAGGCAGCAGACGCAGACGCCCTGGCCCAGCCTCACCAGCCTGGCCTCGAACCTCCTGCCGGCCTTGCCCGCGGCCCGCTGGCGGCCCGCCAGGTAGTGCGTGATGGCGCCGACGACCAGGCCCGTGCCGCCCAGCATCCACAGCGGCAACCACGGGCTCACGGAGTCCGGCCCCGAAGCCCACTTGCAGTCCTGGGAGGGGCCACAAAAGGTACCGCTGCCGCTGCTCCTCCCTGGACGCCTCTCCCGTGGGCGCGCTCGGACCAGGATCTCCAGGCGAAGCCAGCGGTGGAGACGATGTTCTCCCAGGAGGCCCGAAAAAATGAAAAGAAGGCAAAGATATCCGAATCTGTACCTTCAAACTGGCCAATTTCCACCACCACTACCATAGGTAGGATGGGGGAGAAGGAAGGACGGGGAGGTCCTGTGGGAGATCGGCCCATCAATTTCGCTGGCGAAAACAAATCCGTATCCGCAACCTCGCGGGCCGGGACCCTGGGCCGCGTCCCCGCGGATATACAGGACGCGTTTTTTCCCGCAGCTGCCCCACGCGTATCGCAACCGTGCGACTGCGTGTCCGCGGGATCGCGCTGTGCGAAATCCAGACCGCGAAGGCGAGGATGGAGGTACCCGCCCGTCGGAGGAAGCATATAGAAACATGAAGTCGGCAGGCATATAAAACAGGTTGGCCTCGGGCCCGCCCAAAGAGTAACAGACACAGCGAAACATGTAGATTGTCTGAACAGGATGGCGCTGGAAGCAGAATGGGATCTGGGACTCCAGAAATACCTACTTTCGACGACCGACGTGTACGCCTGAGGGAAGCGGGTCCCGGACCCTGGGGCCTTCCCCGAGGACCAGCTCCTCCTCTGGAGTCGTGCTCTGACAGTCCCGGGGCCCGTGAAGGGCCCCTGGAAGCCAAGGACGGCGAAAAACCTCGGGACCCGTTTCCCTCAGGACCCGCTTCCCCCATGGCGATGTTCGCCGCTCGTGACAAATCTATAATAGGGCCGGGCGGTACGGACGCAAGGGCCTTGGACGCAGAAAGCGGTACTTCTGGGGCGGCGGACTGCCAACACCCTGAAGAACGGGCCGCAAAGGCAAGGACGCAAGGGTACGTGAACGTTTTCCTATTCGGCGTTTCGACACTAGGCAGCGGAACTCTACTTAGCGCGACTGTTTGCAACAGTGCGTCCTCTGGGGGAGACACCATCTGCTCGAAACAGGCGCCAAAAACAGCCAAGATCTACTCCATGGGGGGGGGGAGGGGGATACGAGGGCCCGCGCCGATCGGCAAAACAAGGAGTAAGACAACGATCACTACCCCGAGGACATCCGTGCGCCCTTCCTATGTGATGAGCCTGTTTTCCACCACCACCACCAGAAGTTGGAGGGGGGAAGGAGAAAGGAGGAGGAGGAGGAGGAGGTTGAGGAGGAGAGGAGGACGACGAGGAGGAGGAGGAGGACCCCCCCCCCTCCAGCTTATGGTGGTGGTGGTGGTGGAAGACACGCCCATTACTACGAGTCTCGACTGTGATCGCGTCTTCCGCCTCGGACGTCCCTCTCGCTCACGTTGACCGGCAGCGCAAGGTGCCCCGCGGGCGCGCGCTGCCCGCGGAGGGCGTCCTCGCCGGTGGCGTTGTACATGTCGACGCGCCCGTTCCGCACCTGAGCGACGAAGCAAACACGGGTCTCGCGCGAGTCGGCGGTGGACAAACCTCCCTGTAGCAAATCTCCCTCTAGTGAAAACAACCTAGGACCGAAACCGACGAATCTGGACCCGCAGCAACTCACGGCCGCGACGCCCTCTCGCGAACCGAAAATGACCAATTCGCTAATCGACGTGTCAGGGTAGGAGGTCGATCAACCTCCGATACATAGACGAGGCGAGGACGAGAATACCATCGGACGAGGATGAAACGGAAGATCTCTAAGATTCTGCGACTCTGGAGGATGTCTCGAGCGCCGCGGCCTTGTCGGAGCGTTCGGGAACGCTCTGAGAGCGATCCAGAACGCTCTGGGGCGGATCTTTCCTCGTCCTAGCCCCGTCACGCATAGCGACCTTACGCGGTGCCTCACGCGACCTTAACCCGAGGAAGTGATTAAGACCCCCGGTTTCGGCAAAAGTGTAAAACTTCCCGCACTGGGAAGCGTTGTCCCAGCATCCGGCTGATGATGATGATGATGATGACGACGATGATGATGACGATGACGATGACGATGACGATGACGATGACGATGACGATGATGATGATGATGATGATGATGATGATGATGATGATGATGATGATGATGATGATGATGATGATGATGATGATGATGATGATGATGATGCTGATGCTGATGCTGATGCTGATGATGATGATGGTGGTGATGATGATGATGATGATAGTGGTGGTGGTGGTGATGATGATGATGCTGATGATGATGATGATGATGATGATGATGATGATGGTGATGATTATACATGTCGGTTGCGGGGGGAGGTGTTTTTGTTTGCTGTTTGGCGCGGTGCTACCCCCCCTGGAATGTATTAATATCGGTGCGGTGCTACTGATATCCCTGGGGGGGGTCGTAATCACTTCTGCGGGTTACGCGAGCAGCTTACGCGCCGATGTCGGCGCGGTCGAACCGGTAATTTGCCGTGTCGCTAACCTTGCCCAGCTGGACGCCCCGCGGGGCCACGATCTCTATGGCCGGGTCTACCGCCAGCCTCGAGGAGCAACAGCAAACGGCACAGGCACATACGTAAGCACATTCGGAGGCCAGCGCGGAGGTCGCAGATCGGCGCTGGGCCCTCCTGGCGGAGCCCCTGGGCACCGCCCCTCATGGCAGACTCTGCGCGCCAGGGAGGGAGGGTCCAGCGCCGATCCAGGGAGCCCGCGCGGACCCCCGAAGGCTCCCTCCTTCCCGAATCGCTCCTCACCAGAGAGCTGCACTGCGCACGTCGAAGAGCGGCCACGGTGAGGGGAGCCCTGGACCGCCGGGTCTGGCAGCCGTTTCGCTGGAGACCTCCTCGCAGTGTGTTCGGGGATGCACGGACCTCCCTTTAGCAAAACGTGGCTTAGTGAAAACGACCTGAGGCCCAAACCTGGCGGGCGCAAGCCTGGAAAATAACGGCCGCGGCGCCCTCTCGAGAACCGAAAACGGACAATTCACTAATCGACGTGTGACTGTTGGGGGTTCTGTCCACCCCCGATGTATTCCAGAAGCGTGCTCTAGGTCCCATGCTGGCGACACTGTCGGCCTGGACGGCCCCGACCCCTTGCAAGACACTCAACCAACGTGCCGATGGTTGTCTGTCCTGGCTGCGTCTTCCCTGCGCGTCCCTAGGAAGACTCACGAGCGTACGATTTCACTAGCCAGCCTCCTACTCCTCGACCCCCTCTTCACCTTTGCTGCCATCAGGGTGCGCTGATAAGGGTAATGTTTATGCCGCGGTTTCGTTCGGAGAAGGGCGAGTTGAGGTACTATGGAAGCTCTAAGTCGGCCCGAAATCCATCCCCGGACCCCTCCCGGGGTCCGAACGCACCAGTTTCCCAGCTGCGTCAAGCCGTGGCGACTGGGTGCCCCTCCGGAGGCCAACTGCTGGTGTCCCAAGCGGCCCTCCGCGGATTCTTCTCCGACAGCCCCTTCTTGTCGAAGAGGCCGTCGTTGACCAGCCGCCAGAAGGGCTTCGCGTCCTTCGAGTGCACCGCCACGGGCGCCTTCCGCCGCGGAGAGCCCGCGCCCCGCGCCGGCTGCTCCTGGACGACGGCCATGCCGGGGAGCCCGAGCCGCTCGAAGGGAGAGTGGCCCAGCAGCAACTCCATGAGCGGGTCGATGACGGGTGCGCGCGGGCCGGGCCCTCCCGACGAGAACGTGAAGGTCATCTGCGACCCCCCGCTGAGCGGGTCCAGCATGTCCATCAGGGGCGGGCCGTCGTCGCTCGCGGAGTCGCTCGACAGCGTCATCGCGGCGCTGGAGCCCCCCTTCGCGGCGGAGGCCTTGGCGTTGATCGGCACGTCCACGGAGAACTTCCCGTCGACCTTGCTGTACTCGACGTGGATGTTGTCGACATCGGCGCCCTGAGGCAGCTGGAAGCTCCGCTGGAAGCTGTGCACCATGGACCCAGTGGTCTTCTGGCCCCGCACGATCAAGGAGTGGCCCAGGACCTCCACGCTGGGCGGGTCCTCCTTGTAGTCGGGCAGCGAGGCAACCAGCTGCATCCGATCGCCCAGCCTCTTCACCTCGAAGTCCCCGCCGCTCTTGGCCGCCTGCTGGATCTGCTGGCCCACCATGTCGAAAAGGGTGGCGAGGCCGCCCTGCCCCATGCCGCCCCGCGACACCTTTGGACGCCCGAACTGGGTACGGAAAGAATGGGTACGTACAGTGCCCAGCAACAACTGTTGCCCAAAAACGACAGCGGCCGCTCCTGGGTAGGAGGCCTTCTGTCTCAAATGGACAACGCCCGCGGCGGTGTGGACAGCGAGTCTTGTTCAAAACGAACAGGACATGCTGTCGGTCTTTGTACCCACTCTTTCCGTACCCATTTCGATCGCCCCGCGGCACCGGACCCTCGTCGGTGAGCTCCCCGCCGGGGCCGCCCGGCGAGTCCACCGAGAACCCGCCGAGGGCCGCCAGCGGGCCCATGTCCAGAAGGTCCATGAGGTCCCCTGTGGCGAGGGGGGGGGGGACTACTGCGGGGAATTTGGTCCGGGTGGGGGGGTCCGGGTCTTGCTAGACGTGCCCCTGGGCCAAGGTGCCCTTTTTTTTCCCCTCCTCCTCCTCCTCCTCCTCCTCCTCCTCTCCTCCTCCTCCTCCTCCTCCTCCTCCTCCTCCTCCTCCTCCTCCTCGCTCCTCCCTCCTCCTCTCCTCCTCCTCCTCCCTCCCCCCTCCTCTCCCTCCTCCCTCCTCCCGCCTCCCCTCCTCCCGTCCTCCCTCCTCCCTCCTCCCTCCTCCCTCCTCCCTCCTCCCTCCTCCCTCCTCCTCCTCCCCTCCTCCCCTCCCCCCTCCTCCCTCCTCCCTCACCCCTCCGCCCTTCTCCCTCCTCCCCCCTCCATCCTTCCTCCTCCTTCTCCTGCTTCTCCTGCTTCTCCTGCTTCTCACCTGCTTCTCCTGCTTCTCCCTGCTCTCCTCCTTGTTCTCCTCCTTTCTCCTCCTCCTCCTCCTCTCCTCCTTGTCCTCCTTCTGCCTCCTTCTCCTCCTTCTCCTCTTCTCCTCCTCCTCCCTACCTGCTGGTCTCCTCCTTTGCCCTCTTCTCCTCCTTCTCCTCCTCTCCATCCTCTCCTCCTTCTCCTTCTCCTCCTCCTCCTCCTCCTCTCCTCCTCCTGCTCCTCCTCCCTCCTCCTCCCTCTCCCCTCCTCCTCCTCCTCTCCTACCTCCTCCTACCTCCTCCTCCTCCTCCTCATCCTCCCCTTCGGCTCCTGCTCCTGCTCCTGCTCCTGCTTGTGCTCCGCTCCTGCTCCTCCTCCTCCTCCTCCTCCTCCTTCCTCCTCCGCCGTCCCCTCCTCCTCCTCTTCCTCTTCCCGTCTCCTCCTCCTCCTCCTCCTCCTCCTCCTCCTCCTCCTCCTCCTCATCTTCCTCGTCCTCATTATCCTCCCATCCTCATTCGTCTCCTCCTCCTCCTCCGCCTCCTCAGTCTTCTCATCCTCATCCTCCTCCTTCTCCTCCTCTTCTTGTTGCGGATATTACTATAATTATTAGTATCCCTCTTCCTCTTCTTCGTAGCCCTCATTATCCTCCTCTTCCGCTTCTTCCTCCTCCTCCTCCTCCTCCTCCTCCTCCTCTTCCTTCTCCTCATCTTCCTCGTCCTCATTATCCTCCCATCCTCATTCGTCTCCTGCTCCTCCTCCGCCTCCTCAGTCTTCTCATCCTCATCCTCCTCCTTCTCCTCCTCTTCTTGTTGCGGATATTACTATAATTATTAGTATCCCTCTTCCTCTTCTTCGTAGCCCTCATTATCCTCCTCTTCCGCTTCCTCCTCCTCCTCCTCCTCCTCCTCTTCCTTCTCCTGATCTTCCTCGTCATCATTATCCTCCCATCCTCATTCGTCTCCTCCTCCTCCTCCGCCTCCTCATCTTCTCATCCTCCTCCGCCCTCCTCACCTCCTCCCTCCTCCCTCCCCCTCCTCCTCCCTCCTCCCTCCTCCCTCCTCCCTCCTCCCTCCAACCTCCTCCTTCCTCCTCCTCCCTCCTCCCTCCCTCCTCCCTCCCTCCCCCTCCTCCCTCCTCCCTCCTCCCTCCTACTCCTCCGCCTCCTCCTCCTCCTCCTCCTCCTCCTCCTCTCCTCCTCCTCCTCCTCCTCCTCCTCCTCCTCCTCTCCTCCCTTCCTCCTCCTCCTCCTCCTCCTCCTCCTCCTCCTCCTCCTTCCCCCCTCCTCCCTCCTCCTCCTACCCCCTCCTCCTCCTCCGCCGCCTCCTCCTCCTCGTCCTCCTCCTCCTCCTCGTCCCCACAGGATTTCCAAGGAGGCCCCCGCAGCCTCCAGAGCACCCCTCACGAGGCCCCAGGGGGCCTGCGGGGCTCCAGACTGGAGCGACAAAAGCTCGGGGCGCCTTGGGCCAGGGGCACCTTCAGCAGGCCCCGAGGGGGGCGGCCACGCCTCGGCCTGGAGTCGGCGGTGCGCCGCAGAGCGCAGCCGCCAACTCCTGGGCGGTGCAGGCGGGGCCCAAGGAGGCCGCTCATTCGGCGACGAGTGTCGGGGCCGACGCCTCCCCCCCGTGCAGCTGCCCCCTGGCCTGGGCCCATGCCCATCTCCAGCACCTCCGGCCCCATGTGTATCGCCTGAGCACCGTCTAACCGATCCCTGCGGTAGGCTAGCGCGGCGTCGGCGCGCGCGCGAGAGTTTTCGACACCGCGTCGATCGTCCATCCATGAATCGATTCGATCGCGGCCCGGGTCGTTCAAAGCTGAAGTCCGTCGGGTCCAACGGCGTTGACGTGTCCCTCGGTGCTTCCGCGTCGCAGAATTCAACCTTGAACGTCTTCGCCGACGTTGCCGGCGCGGCAACGCCGCGTGAACTTACCGTATCCCCACTGGCGTGGCCTGGGCCCACTGGCCGCTCAAGCCCCCCAGATCGGGGTATGGGCTGCTCCGTTCGGGCGTTGAGGGACCCACTCCCGACTGGGGTGATGAGATGGTCGAGCTGAGATACGATGGCCCCATGGGGTTGGGGAAGGTTATGGGGAGACAACGGGGTATCGATGCCGCCCCAGACCTCCCCTGGGGCGCCTTCTGTCCAGAATGTCGAGGCGAATCCAACGGTGGCAAAGGTGACCTCCAGGAGTCCCACAATGGCAAGAGCAAGAAGGCAGCGGCATCGGTACTTGCTTCCCCTCCGAGGTCAGACGATGCCGATCGCCACTGGGCCGCCGCCGACATGCGCGAAGGGCCCCATCATCATGGGCCCCCCCATGGCCATAGGGGGCAGCGCGATCAGCTCGCCTGGCCCCTCCTGCGCCTCCTCGGTGGCAACGCATGGGAGCCTTCCATACCATCCTGTTCGCTCCTGCGGACCGACGATGATCAACGCGACGCTCCTCGACGCTCAGCCGGCGCTCTCTCGTCGACGACCAGACGCCACCGCACGCTGGTGCACGTTGAAGACGGAACTACAGTGCGGACGCGGCAGCAGAAACCTCGGAAGAAACCCAGCTCCGAAAACCCGCAAGCGCGGGATGCAAGTGGGGGGAGCAACTTCTTCAACGGTGTCTGGAAGTCACCACGCAGCGCGCAGAGCAGAGAAACCCAGGGAACCCTGACGAGAAGCATTCGGCTTCTTGATGCGCGCCCCCCCTGTAGGAGAACATTGCAAGGCTCCCGTGTGTCGCTACCCAACTCCTGCGCCTCTGCGAGCAGGGCCGCCACCGCGTCGGCCGCGTCGGGCGGGTCATCGTCACCACCGCGCGCGGCCGGCGGCAACACCGCGGCCAGCGCCAGCCCGATGAGCCCAGCCAGCCGCATGGCGGCCGGGTGGCCCGCGCGGCTCTGTTGCGGGCAAGAATGATGTCCGTACAGGCCTCGGAAGAAATGAGCGAACACTCAGTCCACATTCGTCTGTCAATGCCCCCAGGATGATCAATGCTGGCGGTGGGTTGAATGAATTGCACTTCGACCGCGATTCTTCCCCGCGCGTGCCAGGGGATGTCCACGAACTGTTTCCCTGTGCTGTGTCCACTGCGTCCTGGCCCCTCCGGCACGGGCGCTAGAAGGCCGAGGCGCCGAGGATGCGGATGAACACCGGAGGAACATGGAGGCTCCAGGGACCAGAGTTTCGACGCCCGAATTATCCGGGGTAAGTCGGGTCCGGGGTAAGTCGGGTTCGGATTCCCGAAAAAGGAACCCGAGTTAGCCCTGACCCGAGTTACCCCGGATGATTCGGGGCTCTGAAGAGTGCTGCGCACCTGCACCTGCGCCCCTGCCTGCGGGGGGGAGGGATGGGGAGACCAGACACTCTGCAGACGCAGCGGGTGCGGACACGAGCCCTGCCCACGCCTGCCGCGCGCGGGCGCGTGCCTCGGGAGCGCGGGCTCGGGAGCGCGGGGGGGCTTGGGCCAAGAACAGTCAGAAAACAAACCTTTGCTTTGGTAAAACCTTTGCTTTGGTAGGCACGTGTGGCAGGTCCAGAAAACAAATGAAGCAAATGATTTGCTTCACTTGTCTTCTGCTTTGTTTTCTTATGTTTGCTCATGTCTCTAATTCTGTCCATCCGAGAGCAGATCTGCCGATGCCTCGGGGTCCACTCGGCGGGCGACCGGGGCCGGCCCATCCGGAGGGGAATGAGGGGGCGCCAGGCAGGGCTGGGCCGGAGGCCCCACGCCTCCCGGGGATGCCTCGGGGCGGCCCGCGCTGGCCTCGAAGCGGGCGCCGGGAGGTCCAAGACGCCCGCCCAAAAGGGGCCCACGTGGCCCCAGACTGAAGGGGCCCTGGGGCACAGAAATGAATCCACAAGTAGCAGGATTCCCCATATTTTCTAATATTTTCGGGGTGTTTGTCTTCCCCCCCACTGCCCAGATTCTTCTATATTTTCTGGGGAATCGACGATTGATTGTGTCTGTGTTTTTTCCCTCCTGACAGATGGCACCATGACGACCCAAGATGGTCCCCAGACAGCTCTAGAAGCCTCCAAGACGCTCCAGCACGGCGCAAAAATCTGCCCATTCCTTACGACAAGCTCGCGTTGTCAGCATAGTCGCAGCTTGCGCGCTTCCAGTGCGTCCAAGACGGCCTCTGGGGCCTCCCGGATGCCCCCAACACGGCCCGACAGGCTCCGCACAGGGCGCCAAGACGACTCCAAACGCCCCCACGGCGGCCTTCAAGGCCTCCTAGAAAGCCCCAGCGGACCCCAGGAACGGCACAAAAGACAGCCCAAGAGGCTCCTAAGACGGCCCCAGCGAAGGGCCCCACAGCCCACAACGGCCCCAAATGCGCCTCTGACGACCCAGGAGGGCTCCAAAAGACCCCCAAGAAGCTCTAAACAGAACGACGGGAAGGTTCCCAAACGGCCCCCAGAAAAGGCCCGCGACCCACCCGCGACCCACCCTGCGACCCGCCCGCGACCCACCCGCGAAAAAATCGGCGCCTGCCGCGGGCTCGTTGATTCATTTGTGCAATTTTGGCGCCTGCGGCGGGCTTCTTCAGAGCCTTGCAGACTGCCGACGTCCCCGCCGCCCCCGCATTCTTGTCCGAAACTTTCGGGGTGCTTCGTATATGCGTAGCCAAGGCGTCCTTCAACGGCCATGCGCCTCACAGGGGCTCCCCAAGGCTTCCATGACGGCCCAGGAAGCCCCCAAGGCGGTCCAAGAGGGCCCCGAGTCGCCGAACGATCGCTCGAAGACGCCCAAGATGGCCTCAAGATGGCGCAAGAAGCGCCCGAGGGGTCCCAAGAGGCCTCCAAGAGGTCTCCCACGAGGGCCCCCAAAGACAAACATCATGGACTTTCCTTGCGTGTTTGAGAAATTTTGGCGTTCTTGCCTTTTCGGCTTGCCGACGTTCTAAGACGGCCTAAGAGACCCACAAGACCACCCAAGAGGGCCCCAAGGCGGCCGAAAACCGCCCCAAGACGGCCTAAGAAACGCCCTCAGACAAGACGGCCCCAAGATGGCCCCAAAAGGAACCCCAAAGGGGGAACATGAACCGAACATCCAAGCCTTCCGCCCCAATGGGCCCCTAGGAGGCCCCCCAAGAGAGGCCCCAAGAGGCCCCCAAGAGGCCCCCGAGAGGCCTTCATTAGGTCCCCAACAAAAGCTTGTAACCCATGATTCAGGCACGGCGGCAGGACGTGCCATAGGCAGCTGGATAAAACACAGGCTGAAGCAAACCTGACTTTGTGATTCCGGCCCAGTCCAGCGCTGGTCGATTACCCCGCGCCGGCTCCGACGGCGTCCTGGGAGAATAACTAAACGGAACTGCCGTCGCGGCGCGATCTGGGGAGACCTGCCTCCCCCCCTAGAGGGACCATGCCAGCTAGGATTTCCCAGTGGGGGGCTGCCGAATGAACCCCACCTTTTCACGAAGCTTATTTCCTTCGCTGGCTTCCCGATGCGACTGACGTCGATTGCACACGACAACACCTGTGAACGTCCTTGAAGGACATGACGCAGGCAACACGATGGTGACTAAACTCTGCGGTCATCGCTGGATGACCACGCAGCTTGCGCAACATGCTCTCAAGGACAGAGAGACATGAAAAGGCAGACGAGGCCAGCGAGGACGAAGGGAACAAAGGAGGAGGCGTTTGCTCTTGTCTCGAAGACGCCGACCCATGCTCATAGCGAACACGCGCGCCCACCAGGGCACAAACACAACGATCAGGAGTAGAAAGAAAGGCATAAACCGAAACCCTTGGCGCTCCACCCAGCTTTCCTGGATCTGCGCTGGACCCCCCTCCCTGGCGCGCGGAGCGCGCAAGGGGCGGCGCCGGAGGCACCGCCATGGGGGCCCCAGCGCGGATCCAAGAACTCCGCGCGGACTGGCAAAAACTTCTGCTTATGGCACATCTTATTCTTCTTCTTCTTCTTCTTCTTCTTCTTCTTCTTCGAATGCTCTGTGTTGGATTACGCTGCCTGTCATAATCCGGCTCCCCTTCACGGACTACCTACCAGACCACCCCAACCCAACCCGAAGACCCGAATTTCGGGTGCCCTCTGTGTTTTTCCAATGTTCCCCGACACCCCCCCTCTGGAAATGGAGGGCAAATTGATGCCTTTGGGTTGGGTTTTTGGACGCCCGAAATGGGCACGGAAAGAATGGGTACAATGCCCAACACAAATGTTGTCCCAAACCAACAACGGCCGCTGTTGGGCAGGCGGCCCTCTGTCTCAAATGGACACAGGCCGCGGCGGCGCGGACAGCGAGTCCTGTTCAAAATGAACAGGAACTGCTGTTGGGCATCGTACCCACTCTTTCCGTACCCATTTCTTGGGCGCCCGAATTATCCGGGGTAACTCGGGTCCTGGGTAAGTGGGGTTCGGTTAGCCCTGACCCGAGTTACCCCTGATGATTCGGGGCTCTGGACGCCCGAGTTATCCGGGGTAACTCGGGTCCGGGGTAAGTCGGGTTTGGGTTCCCAAAAAAAAGGAAGCCGAGTTAGCCCTGACCCGAATTACCCCTGATGATTCGGGGCTCTGGACGCCCGAGCTATCCGGGGTAACTCGGGTCCGGGGTGAGTCGGGTTTGGGTTCCCAAAAAAAAAGGAAGCCGAGTTAGCCCTGACCCGAATTACCCCTGATGATTCGGGGCTCTGGACGCCCGAGTTATCCGGGGAAACTCGGGTCCGGGGCAAGTCGGGCTTCGGGCTCCCAAAAAAAAAGGAGCCCGAGTTAGCCCTGACCCGAGTTACCCCGGATGATTCGGGGCTCTGAATTTCGTTCGTGCAGAGGGTTGGGGTGGTGATTCACGGGGTCCTGGCTATCCTAAAGGGGCCCCAGGACACACAAATAAATACACACAAATAAAAAGATTCCCCATATTTTCCCATATTTTCTGGGTTTCTGTCTTCCCCCCCACTTCCCATATTTTCCCATATTTTCTGGGGAATCGACGATTAATTGTGTCTGTGTGTTTTTTCCTCTCCTGATATCCCCCGAGCGTAGCACGGCGACCACGGACCACTCTCGGAGGCCCACCCCGGCCGGGGTAACTCGGGTCCGGGGCAAGTCGGGCTTCGGGCTCCCAAAAAAAAAGGAGCCCGAGTTAGCCCTGACCCGAGTTACCCCGGATGATTCGGGGCTCTGAATTTCGTTCGTGCAGAGGGTTGGGGTGGTGATTCACGGGGTCCTGGCTATCCTAAAGGGGCCCCAGGACACACAAATAAATACACACAAATAAAAAGATTCCCCATATTTTCCCATATTTTCTGGGTTTCTGTCTTCCCCCCCACTTCCCATA